TACTTTCAATATTCAATTGATTGTTTTGCAAATGTTATACATATTAATGAATAAATTTTAATTATTATTATACAAATAGCTAGTAATTAAATGCTTGTAATATAAATATAAAGTTTAATTGCTGTTTAGTAGAAATAAAGCAGTTGCGTGGAAACTCAAGCTACCGTATTTAAAAGATAGTAGTTGCATTAGTTTTAAAATAAGTTTCCACATGTTCATTTACAATTTTTTTAACCTGTGCTTTAATTTGCTTTTAATTTGCTTTATTTTATGAAGTACAGGACTATGGGCAGCTATAATTATATATCTAAACGTGTTTAATTACTTTGTCAGACAAAAATGGTAAATAATAGGATATATATATATATATATATATTTGCGAGAATAAATGAAAGTGATTTCCATACTCTGCATAACAGAATTACTTCGGAGCATATTTTACGAATGGCGATAAATAATTAAACACAAAATAAGTTCATGTGTCGTGTCTAATGTTTATTCTCATATTTTCGTAATAAAAGAGTCGAATATATAATATTGGTTACTCTGATTACAATGAATACAGAATAAAGACTGTTGATATTTATAAATTTATTTTAATTAAAAAGTGACTGAATTTTTCCAGGCTTTTCGATTTCACAATATGCATTTTGTGTTTTCTAAAATTCAATTACTTGTATAAATATTTTAACGACTCTGTTGTAGTATTTATTTGACATGCTTAAATGAACTTTGCTGTTGTTATTGTTTTTTTTTTTTTTTTTTTTTTTTTTTTTTTTTTTTGGTTATACAACATCATACATACAAAAGATGAAATAACTATAAATTACACAAAATATATTGCAAGAGATGAAAATACAATTGTTACGGACAAAAGTGCTTTTCTCACGCTATTTGAAAAACTGTTGTACCATTGAGTTTTTTTCATTTTATAATACATAAATGTTCTGCTTTAGTCTGTAATGTAACAGACAATTTTTACTTATAATCATTACTTTGATAAGCAATCAACAACATATATATATATACACAAATAGTTAAATATATGTAGGTAAAGAATTTTTCAAGACTCGATATGATGTGTTGTTAATTGGATAAAGAGATTTTTTCCTATGAACATGGTTTAACACTTGAATCTTATAAAATCCTCTTAGACTTTGCAAATTTTTCTTTAATCCGTGGTTATTCTCTCTACGATAAAGTACTGCCGCGACACGATGAAAACGAATAAATTAATATATGTATATAAAAACAAAAACGAAACAAAACAAAAACAAAAACAAAACAGAAAGAAAAGGACAACAATAAAAAGAAATGATATCTTAATTTATTTTGAGTTATATGAAATTAATATTGGTAAGGCATAAAAATTAGTAGGGAAGGTATCGATTACAGAGTCTGATATTGGAGTAATTGAAATAATTATGGCGTTATATCCTCATAATCATATTTATTTAATGCGATCGCATAACTTTCGTATGGCTGTAAACAATTTTATTTCGATATATCAAACGCTGCTGATCTTAACAGCCTTTTTCCGTTCCAACAGAATGATAAGAAACACCAGTTGAACATTTTGTAATTGTACGGTATTAGCGTGATTTACGACTTTTAGTCACGAACGGAATCACCAAAGTGCATTCACTTGACCAATCAATATTATCTGTAGGAAATGGGGCGCACAGTGTATAAGAAATTCTTTAAGCTCTGTAATATACGAATTTCGCATACGTAACTTTGTTATATCTAGCTAGAAAATTAAATAGGAATCATAAAGCAAGGGAAATAAGTATTTTATATCGCGGCCACCCAGCTCTTCATATTATTTATTACTTGTATCGCAATGTAATGCGTCTTGCTCGCCAAGCATGTAGTTTAGTAGTAAGCGGTAATATGGTAAAGGACACTTATATTCTTCCGGTGATGTTATCACAATGCACAAGCAGCAAATTAGGTTAAAACTTACGATACTACGATTCCAATTGCGTATAATTTTGCAACAGTTGATGAAAATATATTATATGCTTAAGCATTAATTCATCGTTACGTTATAAAGATTATTATTCGAATTTGGTAATTATAATAAATTAGGACCCCGGCATTTATAGAGTGCACTTGTCGCCCACTTTCTGTCTTATCTCAAGCCGAAGAAATCAGTAGATGTAATTCAAGTATAATATACTTATCGTTAATACATCATTTAAATAAATTATGTAGATTAAGCAGTCGCATACTGCAACACTAAGCCTTGCATTATGCTTCGATTAAGTTCCTAATAATGACTAATAACGAGCCTTTAAAAATAAATTCAATCATAGTTATTTTTTATTATCGAGCTCCGATTATTATTGTCGCAGCTTCGAAGTGAGTGGCACATTTATATGGCGGTCGCAGGAATTATGGGAATATGATAATTTTATCGACGTTTACGGCAGTGTTCAGTTTATCCGTTTATAGCATTATTAAATTATTTTTCTTCTTGTACTCGTAATTTGCTGCAGATCGACAAACAACTCAAGTTAGTAGTTTTTTCCATAATAATCCAAGAATGCAGTACAACGAACTTTATCGTCGCAATACCTGGACAATTCCTTCGATGAATATTATTGATATTATTAATTGTCTCGGTCTCGGTAGGCAAGTAATTTTTGAATATTACAAAATGAATTATTCTTTGTTAATTTATTATTTTATGGCCATCTTAATATTTTACTATAGATACATAATATGACTCTATCTGGTAAATTTAATGCTTATTATTAATTATGTTGTGCAACTTCCTACACGGAATTTCCCGACAAACTTTTCACTCATAAATATGTAATGCGATACTTTAATTAAAATTGGTTTAAATTTTTCATATTCGAGAAAAATTATTAATTAATGATGATTAATTGATAATCGAGGTTATAACGGATTATTGGTATTTCTTTATTAATGCGTAAAATTAGGTAATTATTAATAGACATGGAAAAAAAAAAAAAAAAAAAAACTGATTTTCCATCGAGTGATATATGGTACTAATTACGATAAATATTATTCGTATTATTCGCAATAACGAGTGGATTTATTAATTAGAAACAGTAGGATTTTATTATTTATTAACCTATCGAAATGAAATATGTAGTGTCACAGCAACACATAATATTTTATGAACTTTCGTTTGGGATTAGTAATCGACGGTTGTGTATTTTTTTCTCTCGTATTGTATTAAACTCATAATCATTACATCACTTTATTCAAATTCCTAAACTGCTGTTAAGTAATTCACTGAGATTTGGCATTAAAAAAAGTAATAAATTTTTTAATTAATTGAAAAGAAAAACGCAAGAAGAGTTATTTGTTAGGTTTAAGACAAAATAGTTAAACATTAAAGATCAAATTCTAAAAGTAAAAAAAAAAAATTGATGTGATGAATTTATATTAGTTTTTGTTCTAGTTTATACGTCAAATGCTTAGCACTAGATTAATCATTATTAAATAATAATAATGATAATAAACAAAAAACAAAAAGGGTTAAAGCATTGGTAATTTCTTAATGTCTATATAAAAATAATTTCACTCGAAGAAAATAGGCTTTATGTATATATATATATATACACATTGTTAGAAAATACAAAAGAAGCAATAAAATTCCCACCCGTAATTATAACGCTCATTTCTCTTTATTTTTGCTTTTATTAAGATACATCTTTTTTCTTTTATTAAAATTCATAGTCAAAGCCTCACGCGAATTTGCGTAGCTGAAATTTCGCACATCTCACCAATATACCCGAGTGCCATACCTTGCCGAACAACTTAAAGTATTAAACGTACGGTGTAAAAAATCAATAATAATTTTATCAAAATGAACCTCATACGCGACAAACTCACTAGGAGTTGGGCAGAAAGCGCAATACAAATCGTAAATAAACGGTGCGCGTAACGGAGCAAAATGTTCAGGCGGGCATAAATTAGCCAAATCCGCAAAAGCGTACGTTTAAATCAGTGAGATTGAGCGCGTTAGAACACGGCAGCGTAGCCCTTCGAGGGCCATGTACGAAACAGGGCTAAATAAAAAAGGTGAGAGATAAATAGAGAGAGAGCGAGAGAGAGAGAGAGAGAGAGAGAGAGAGGGAGAGAGCGAGAGAGAGAGAGAGGGAGGGTGGGCTATAGCGCCCAGTGGCCGCCTTATTTTTTATTACACGCATTCGTTGGTTCGAGTCAAGTGCTTCCTTCCCTCGCACCTCCTCCCTTAGCCGTCGCGAAACGGCTCGGTGCGCGACCTCCAAATCTTATCCCGTGGAAGGTAGCTTTTGGGATCCACACGCATTCGAATTCGCCAATATCAGCCTCGGCTTCCCTCCATCCTCTCGCATTAACGCACGCACGCCCGTACGCACGCACGCACGCACGCACGAAGAAACGCTCTATCTATCTTTTCTCGGCAATCCTTGATCCTTAAGGAGGCAGGCTACCCCCTCGCGCAATTTTTACTACATTTCATCACCGCGCGCATGCATGGAACATCCGAGAGAAGTAAGTAACGAAGTAAATAGAGGACGGGAGGTGGCGGCGCCTCTCCTCCTCAGGTCGGGCGGGAGCGAGGGAGCGAAGGGCGCGGCGAGACTCGCTCCCGTAGCCCGTGATGCTGGCAATGACGTCACGTTGCTAAAGCGACGCGGCGCGGCAACGCCAAGAGCGGCGTGGGTCGGCGTTAGCGCTGCTGCGTCTGGGGTCGCGGGATCAATAGCGCAATAGCGCAGCGCGCGCCGTCAGCCGCGCTCGACCAGGGAGAGCCGACCCCCGCCACAGCAGCTTCGCCACCACCTCCACCGTCGCTGTCGCCAAAGCCGCCAAAGCCGCCAAAGCCGCCAAAGCCGCCGCCACTGCCGCTGCCGCCGCCGCCACCACCACCGCCACCACCGCCACCACCGCCACCACCGCCACCACCGCTGCCGCCTACGTCGCTGCCATCGCCACCGCCACCGCTACCGCCACTGCCACCGCCACGAGCTGCCATCGCCACCGCCACCGCTGCCACCGCCATCGCCACCGAGAGGCGGCAGCGCTCAGTCCAGGAGACGGCGCTCCCGTGGTAGGACGCGCTCGGAGACAGGCAGCGGCAGCGGTAGCGACTGGCGCGCTCCGCCGATGCGCGATAAGGTGGAGCGCTGCTAGGGGCAAGCCCCAGCCGGGGCAGGACCGGGACGGCGGCGCCAGGAGGAGGGCACCCGGGGCTCGCTGGGAGACCGGGCGCGAGCAGCTTCCGAGCGCCAGGTGAGAGCGCGGGCGGGGCGACGGGAGCCGCTCCTCTCGAGGTTCTACCGAGTGCGGAGCACTCGTAGCTCCTCTGGAACGGGGCTCCCTTACCCTTGGCCGGTCAGGGTAATGGGTGAAAGGTGAAACGTGAAGGGTGAAGGATGATTGGTAAATGGTAAAGGGTGAAGGGTGAAGGGTGAATGGTGATGGATGAAGGGTGAAGGGTGAAGGGCGACGGATGAAGGGTGAAAGGTGAAGGAATTGATTATGGGAGGGCGGGGAGAGGTACTGGAGGAGGAGGAGGAGGAGGAGGAGGACTAGGTGAGAGGATGACTCTCCCTTGGTCACAGGAGGACTACGGAGTTGGGAACGGAGATGGGAACGGAGATGGGGATAAAGGTGGTGGCGGTGGTGGTGGTGGCCTCCGCGATTTGCCGCAGTACGACCGGACGGAACCTCGTAAATAGTCCCGCTTCGAACGCGTTCACTACGTCGCGATGAGAGTCCGACGGGTGAATCGATTGGATCTCAGCCCGCCCGGATGGGTTTTCAGCGAACCCGGTGGCCATTTACATCTGTCAGATCCGTGGCAGCGTGCCGCCTTGGCTCGGTGCTCGTACGGGTGGCAAAAGTGCCGCTCGTCCGACCAGGCCCGGCTTTTTCCACTGACATCTCATTTCGCCTCGGTCTTCCTTTCTTTCCTCGCTCCTTGACTGCGTAGCACGAGCCTCCTCGTCTACCACCACCTCCGACTGCCCCCGAGCGAGTGCACTGCACACTTTTATCGATGCTCGTTCGACGCTCGCTCGTTGAATCTTCGTTAAGGGTCAAAGGATTTACGAGCGCCGATGCTCCAGCGAAACAATGACGTTGGCGCAACGACGGCGGCTCAGGCTTTTTTTGTCTCGCTCTTGGCGCGTGTATTTTCATTGTAACACTGGCATATTTATACCCTCGCCTATTCTTTTTAGAACGCGTAACACTTGCTGGGCCGCGCTTCTCTCCTCAACCCCTGTAAATCTTTGGTCAACGCCTTGTCAACTTGCTTGATAAAGAGATAAAATACAAATGATCTCTCTCTCTTTCTCTCTCTCTCTCTCTCTCTCTCTCTCTCTCTCTCTCATTTCAATTAATTTTATAGGTCTTTGGAAGAGCATGAAAGCCGAGATGGTACATTGGAGAGAACCTTTATGTCAGTTTCTTTTCATCTTCATCGAGGTCTCACGTAAATTCAGTAGCGATAGGAAAATGAGCAAAACTGTATGATCGAGGCTAATTTTAACAAACAAATTAATTACGTTAACCGTATGCAAAGAGAATGGAAAAATAAATGCAAAATTCTTCAATCATATCTCATCTTTCAATTCTCGCATTTACACACAGACTAACGCACTCTCATACTATTTCGCTCTCTCTCTCTCTCTCTCTCTCTCTCTCTTTCTCTCGTTTTCTCGCTCTGTGACTCTCTGAGAAGTTGACGCATTATACAGGGGCGCGGACGTACATCTACGACGGCGGTGGTAGCTGGGAAAGCTCTTTGAACTTGTATTACATGTATATATGTATGAATTGGTGGGCGCTGTAAAAAATTTTATAAAATCGAATTCTCCCACCTAAATCTTTCTCTCTCTCTCTCTCTCTCTCTCTCTCTCTCGATATATATATATATATATATATATATATATAAATAATATAATATATATTTTTTTAATTGTTGTTAATAGGGATATAATATTTGTAGGGCGGAGAATTTTTAGTAAAAATAAATAAACGTTATTAGATAGAATATTTTTTTTATTTTTTTGTTAATTTTGATAAAGCGGTTTGAAAGTTCTTTCAAAGGCCTTGTAAAGATTAGAGATAAAAGTTCAAATCTTATTAGTTACAGTCAGCCGATTTTTAGTAATGATGAAATTCATGTCACGTCTTTATCGAATAGAACAAAAATTTTTAACTTTCATTACAGTATTACTCCCCTTTGATCCACTATTGAGAAAAATTAAAAATATATTGTTTATCCATTGAGATAGAAATTGTATTAGCTAGCTTATTCATAAAATTGAATGACGTCAAATATTTTACACTGTGATAGATTGAAAATGTTTGTCTCGTAAAATTTTATCAATTATTTTCTTGACTGGAAAAGAAATTAAACATTTGTTTAATCGGCCTATTAAATAATTTTACGCGTATTAATTAGGAATTATTAATTAATCACCCAAGGCATTGTCAATTTATCTTGTCATTTTCGTTTCACGTATTAAAAAAATATTTACGGAACGTCAAACTAAGCAATATTCTATATATATATTTATGCGTAGCTACGAAAGTATACATAATAAGCGTAATATTAATTCATGTAATTATGTAGCTATTTCAAGTAAAAGGCAACGCTTTTTTATTTTAGCGCTGCATCAGTATTATTTATTTACTTTTTAATTAAAAAAATACATACGAGCACGCACGAACACAGGCCCGCGCGCATATTATTATTGATCATATTTTCCGTTCTTTATCAAATACAGTACCTTTAATGCTTATTACATAATATTAAAATTTAGAGATCTTTCTATCTATAGATTATTTACAAGTGTGCGTTTAATTTAATTTATGAATAAAATTGGATTTAAAATTCATAATAGTTTATAATTCTATCGGCAATATTATACATATGTACAACTAATTTCAATAATTCAATTATAAATAAAATGTTGAGCTCTAATAGAAATATGGCGATGTATGCTGTATCGTCGTTAAATGGCTCAATTAATAATCAAAGTAACAATCGCAATGAACTTTTATAAATTCAATTGAATATTCTATGATAAAATTATTTAAAATTAATACCAATGTAAAAATGAATTATTGTTGTGCGTTGGAGCTTTATAATTACATAAGTTATATATTTTATTAATTTTCATTGTTTTATTGGATAGCCATTTTTTCTAGTCAACGTATTTCGAAAAAGTATTACATGGTTTTCAAACATTTAGCATATCCTATGCGTTTACTTATTTTTGCCCTGATTTTCGCAAATCATCACATCTAAATTGTTACCTACTTCGTTCGAATTACGATGTAAAATTATACTTTTTAAGATTATGTAAAGTCTATTAACGTGTTAAGTTTTGTCTGGTTACCTCAATTATGCGCAATTAAATGAAAATTTATTATAAAATACGGTTAATGAAAATTAATTTCACATACAATGAACATTATATATATATATATATATATATATTATTCGGTAGGCAATTCATAGTAGAAGAAATTTTGAAGAATTACGTATCATATTAATATAATTTTAAATCTTAATGAATATATATCTATATATATATATATATATATATAACAAGTTCTCGTTAAAAATTTTATATTTTTAACATAAAGTCATAAACGATTGATTGAATTTATTAGAAAGTATATAAAAACTGTTAATACCTGGTAAGTTTATACAAACATACATATTCTTTCCAGATATTTTTTTTAACACAATTCAAACTCTTTTATATACGTCTTTTATTGATCCTTTTTAAATTAAAAGGCTAAATAGGAAAAAAAATTTATAATTAATATTTACGTAAATGTGAAGAATTAAAAGATGATTGAAAATTCTATTGACCGTCGTACGGTTAAGTTGAAAGTAAAATGCTTTAATTATTTGATTAATTTGTTGGTATTAAAGTTGATAAGATCGTTGAATGATTATTAAATGATATCTTATATATGTTTATAATTATGCGATGAGTAAATTATTTAATTGCATACACGAATGATATTATACATATAATTATGCATATATATATATATATATATATATATATATATATATATAATATAATATAGGTGTTTAAGGAAGTATGATTTTTTTATTGATTTTTGAGTTTTTTCGTACTGTTATCGAAAATTGTGCATGCCATTTGGATAATTAGAATTTATAGATAGACAGTAAGCAAGGAAATCGTTAAATAATTGTGTGTAAATAGGCATATACCTCAAACGGGATATTAACGAAAGATATACTATTCCTTCCCCCGGATGTCATATATCTCTTGACTTAAAGTAACAACAAAGTACCAGATAAAGCGGATCTCATTCGTCAGATAGAAGTACCTACATGTCTAACACAGATTTAAATACGCCCGCGCACTTTTATTCGTGAACTTTTGTGCAAAGTCCAGCATCGTCGGCACACTATATCTTTAACGTGGAAAAGTAGCGCACGGGAGTGTCCAAGAGGCAGTGAATGTTTTTGTGGGTTGGCACCCTCGGACAGAGCCACTCGGTTTGCAGCACTTCGAGTCGCCGAGTATAACATATTGCTTGCGGATGTTACACAGATGTATAGATCTAGCCGTATTTCTAGATCCGCAGCTAAGCTAAGACGATGATCGGAATTCGTGTGGACGAGTTTTCTTCTTCTGGATTTTCTCGGAGAAGAGTCAATTTGGGGTGGGTTGGGGTGGGGTGGGGTGGGGGGAGTCAGAGGGCGAGGCCAGCGTTTGCCAATGGAGGAATTCAATGTGAATTACCAAGGAGGAGGTCGTCGGGAGTTTGGATATCTTCGAGTGTCGGCACGCGCGATCTGCCTTAAAATGCAGAGTACGTAAACCGAGGCTCCAGGCAAACAGCTGGATGAGCCTAATTTTTTGCACTTGATTCACCTATTCCCTCTCTCTCTCTCTCTCTCTCTCTCTCTCTCTCTCTCTGTCTCTTCCTACTAGCCTTTTTCAATCGAGCCTTTCATTTTTTGTTTTCACTTGGCTCGAGCTGCAACTATTCGACCTTAAATACTGCCGCTTTAGCATTCTCAATGACAGTTTTTAACTGAAAACTTATAATAATCGTCCTTATTTATACCAACTCTCCTTTTTCCCTTTTAAATATCAATAGCTATTATTGTCCCATTACTCGATGTATCGTTTTTTTTTCTTTTCCTTTATTTTTATTTATTTATTTATTTATTTTTTTTTATAATATAATAGAATATTTTGTGATATTATTATTCTCTTTTCCGT